AGGATTAGGATATATTAATTGAATTCATACAAAAGTGCTTGTACCCATATCCCAAGAGGCTATTGTCCACATCTTGGTACAGTTTTACAATTCACTTGCTCACTTCCCCACTCATACCTTCTTTTTAGAGCAAAGCTGCTAACAGCAAAACAATGATTACAGACACAAACCTATTCCTTACTACTGACAGTACTGATGTGGATGCAGCTCCTGCAACAACAAAACAATGCTTCTCTTTGGAGCCAGTGGTGGTTTCTGGTGCAATTCCCACTCCATGATATGCTTTCAGTCCTGGAAATTCATGATGAACTGTACTACACAAACCAGATCTGCCAGAAGGACATCTGGGGGATTGTCTACATCTTCTATTGTTGTTCAATGATTCAACCAGATTTGTAACATCCTTCATCAACACAAAGTCCTACTATTAGAGGTGTGTACTACATCAGTAGTAGGACTACTTTTAGTATAATAGTATTGGCACTAGTAATGCTAGCAATGACTGGTTGCACCTTGCTGATGGTGATGGCAGAACAACAACAATTGTGGGAGTGACTATCTAATAGTGATGTAAATCAAGTGCTAGAAGAAAAGTGAGTCAATGCTCTTATCGAGGATCAACAAACTATGAAATCTAAAACCAATCAGAGTGTTGCTTTCTTCTTGATTTGCACCGGTTTCCTCCCCTTCTTGTTTTTTCACTAATTGAGACAAATAATGAAAAAGCAAGATTAAAATTAACGAGGAACTGGAACCATGTCAATTTTAATTTTTTTTAAATTTGAATTCTCCAGTCCCCCTCTTTTGATTCTGTGATCAAAAGTGATCACAGAAAAGATCACAAAAATCTTGAATTTCTTGATCACATTTTTCCAATGGATGGCAATTCATAATACATATATTAATATTATAATAACCAGTACATAATTAGGAAGGCATAGTAGTAGTATCATGTTGCTTTGCCTGAAGATTCCGAACACCTTTTTCGCTGTTCCCATCCATCACGCATCAGCTGGCGGAGACAGACTATCACCTCTCTACAACACCGCATGTCCACACTTGGTTTCCGACCAATTGTCATTGATACTCTTGCTACATGTCTTACCGAATGGTTAGACACTGGCACTGTTTCTCCCGAGAAATATCCTCCATCCCTTCATCCAGTTATCCATTTTCAGAGTGAGATTGGTTGGCACCATATGTTTGCTGGTCACGTTTCGCTCCAGTGGTTTACCGATCTTGATCTTSATTCCGGCTCTTACTCCCCGCTTGTATTAGGGGGTTATCTTGTGGAGTTCTTTCTTACCTCCTACATTTCTTTATGGAAACAGAGAAATAAGGATCTCCATGGCCATACGCTTTCACAGAAACAAGTAAAGCATCGAAGGCGTGTGGTGATGAAAGTTCGGACCTTATTTGCATTGAAATCTCGAACCTGTCCTTCCCATGCTCACTTATTTCCAGTAGACATGGAAGCATTCTTATTACAAACCCCTACCTCCATGCTCTCTTATTATCATCGAGCCTATGAGAAAACAATTCTGGCGAGTGTCACTCAAGCTACAAGTGCTTTGGTCTCCAACACCTGCCCTATTACTCAGTATTCTCCACCATTGCTTCATAGTAAACAACCACCGGAGAGCGTCACACAAGATGGGCTAGTCTTTGATGCATACTCCAAGAAGAGAAGACACAAATCCCCTGCATCACCAATGAATTCTTTGGTCTCTTCCGCACCCAACCGTACGATGCAAACGACTATGAACCAATACTTCACTTAAACATGTCCTCTGAGTCTAGCCTTGGGCCTTCAATGGCCTATCAGTGCACATACAACTTGGTCGTGCCTCCATAAAACCTCCTAGGAGGGAGGCGCCGCCCCTTGGAGCAGCTAGAAGCATTCTTTCTCACAAAAGCAATGGTTCTGGCCATCCTAGTGCCTCTTCTAGTAGTTCATGAGGTTAAATAGAACTTTAAGATTTTTTTTTTTAGTATCATGTTGCTGCCCATAGGATATCAGATCGTGGGTATGATTCATATATACAACAAATACATATGAAAAGTATCTATGACTCATACACACCATACATATATGACTCACTTGACTGTATGGATAAGAGCATCAATGAAATATGAAATCTAAGGCCAATCAGAATGAAGATCGAGTGATGTGTGAATCGAATGAGTCAAGTCACTCACGCAAGTGAATGAACTGAGTTGTGTTGATCGTATGGATCCATAGGATCAAGTGCGTCATATATGTATGGTGTGTATGAGTCACAGATACGCGTCATATGTATGTGTTGTATATATGAATCATATCCACAATCTGATATCCTACAGACAGGATATGTAGTACGTGATACAGCAGGCAGGACTGGTGGGGCAAATATTAGTAGTAGTACTACGACTGTCATGTGTAAAAAAATTGATCATATATCGTATAGAGTTGGTGGCCAAATGTACGCACCAGTTGTACCTTTTGGGCCCTTATTTTGCATGTAGTAATGACTACTTTGACTGAAAAATTATATATACAAAATGCACGTGCTCAGTACTTTTACCGGTACTGGAATTTTTGAATCCCACATTCATGTGACCAAATAGTTTTGCGAACATGTGCTCCTCACTGTCTTGTTATTTTTGCTCCAACACATGTAGTTGCTGTTCTGGTAGTACAAAGTGAATTTTTAAATCACACGAGTCATTACACGGTAATTAAATGCCCCAAAATCAACGCATCACAAAAATGATCACAAATTTGTTATTTCTGATCACATTTTTTGTGATCAAAACAGATAACAATTTTTGGTACCAGGAGGGGGGCCTAGATTGAGATTGATATGTTTCCTGGATTTTGAAAAACAGGATCTGAAAAGTAAAACAAAGAAATGGCTGCACATGCCCTGTCAATCTACTAGGCTTCAGGCTTCATAAACTTACAGAAAATGGAAAGGCCCCCTCTTATTTTTTGATATTTTTATTTTTTCGATGTTGAGACATGAATGCGTGCATGCGCGTCGCACGCACCTCTCGAGATAATTTTCAAAAATTGTACCTACGGTACCAGTACCGTGTTACGAGAAGGTCATCGAAAAATAATTTTTTCCTTTCGATTATCCTGAGCTGAACGACTATCACAAATTCCAGTATTTCGAGCAAGCGTGCACCGGTACTCGTACGTTTAATCTCACCCACCTCCATGGCAAGAGTTTAAAAAGCAAGATACCGGTAGGAAGGTTTTCAGTATTCCAGAAACAGCACTGTTTATGCAGTCAGTAATTACTCTGAGTGATTCAGGTCCTCTGGAATCGAAGACACAGCACAATTGTAAAATAATCGAATTTTGGATCGCAGGTTTTAGTCCTGGGAAATCTTCCCTGCCTCATCCTCGCTGTCACCTTTTTCGAAAGAAGCAAAAGAGATACACATTCCATTTTTAACCATGGGAAAATACACCGGCACCCTCCATAAATTGGTCGAGAGTGCTAGCCATTCGAATAGTGAAAAAAAATGGTCCCAGGTTCTCTTTTATTTGGAGGGTCACACCATCAGTAACGCACAAGAGGCAGAACCACCGGATTTTGAATCGCCGCTTGCGCCAAGTATGGTCCCAAGCCCCGAGCTTGAACGTGAGCTTTTTGATCACCAAGGATCAAAACGAGAAGATTCTCCACTAAGAATCGCCGTCAAGTCAGGACCAGCCAATGTAGTCGCGGCGCTCTGTCATTTAGGACCAAAGGCCTCTCGGATGGCTGATACTAGAGAACGACTTCCTATTCACTTAGCATGCCGACGAAGTTCTGAGGACCCAGAAACAGAGAAGGTTCTCGGGATTCTGGCCAAATGCAATCCTGAAAGTATGTTGCATCGAGATGATTGTGGTCGAACACCGCTCCATTGGCTTTTCCGGTTCCATGCAAAAAGTCGGTCGCCAGAGATTGTTGCATTCTTTTGCCAAGAACTACCATATGATTTATTCTTGGATATTCGACAACCGCAAACAACGGGCAATGAGAAATACCCGCTTCCAGAAATTCATCGTCCGAGTACGAAGATGGAGGTACCTCAAAGCGCGTCAATAGTACACGATTCTTGCCATGGTGCCTTGCCGATTCACTATGCAGTTATGCAGGGTGCTTCCAAGGAATCCATACGAGCTTTGATTAATGATTATCCTGGATCCATATCCGTAGGGGACCGGAAGGGAAGATCGCCTTTGGCTTGGTATTTAGGTGCTGGGAGCTTGAAAGAAACCAACAACAAAAATATTTGTGGTGAAATCAATGACGCAAACATAACTCCCTGGTGGCAAACGAGACTTTCAATGCAACTAATCCATGCCTTGGTATCAAGCAAGGCAGCAAGAATGGTCGACAGGGACATGAAACGAACGCCGTTGCATTGGGCTTGTCATTTTTTTGCTAGATCTTACACCACGGGTTCTTATCCCATCAATCACTCACAAGCTGGTCCCAGTATTTCCAACAAAATATTTCAAATTATTGTGAATCACAACATAGAGGCATTGACTTTTCAAGATATAAACGGAGAAACACCACTTCATGTTATGTTTTCGGTAGTTGCTGAAAGTCAGAGTGCGGAGCAGCAGCGTGTGATGAGTATAAAAGCAACAGAAATAAATCTTACGAAAGGTGGACCCACAGCCTTCAACCCCCCGAAACAACTTCTGGAACTACTTCTGAAATGCCCCGATATAGATGGCCAAGACATCGGCCATAACTATAATGACCTTGGGCAGCCTTTAGTCTCAGCGGCATCCCTGGAGAACAAATGGGGTATATTACCTCTCCACTCAGCTTTACATGTAGCCACTTCTAGTGAATGTATTGAGTTATTGATACAGTCACATCCAACAGGATTGGTCCATTCCAGCGAAGAAAAAATGCAGACGCCACTCATTCATGCCTTCTCTTCTGAATTTTCAGCGCCTTTACAACCATTATCAAATCTCAAGTTACTCTTAGCCTCATATCCTACATCGCGTCATGGAACTTATATGGACGGGCAATTGGCTGTCAAAATGGAAGATGCTCTGGGAATGTACCCAATCCATTATGCCTGTCAAAACCAGACATCTTTTGAAAGTATCAAATTTTTTGTCGAGAACTTCAATCGCTGTGCTACTTATCAGAACTCTGATGGAGACTTACCAATCCATTCCATGCTTTCACGAGATAATCTTTTTTCGGCAAGTTCAAGTGGAAGTGTAAGAGGTGCTTCGCTCGCAAAGCCCCTCGGTCTACTGACAGTGAAGGAGAAAGAATGGCAAGAAGAAGTTAAAGAAGTGCAAAAACTCAAAATGAGGATCTTGCTGGAACCACTAAATTTGCCCGAGCACCTCAAGGTTGGAAGTTTTGCTCATGGGATGACACCTCTGCATGTGGCAGTTGCTTTTGGTGTCTTGCCCTATGAACGAATCTTTCGTATGCTTGACGCTTACCCCGAAGCGAATCGTCAAAATACAACCGAAGACGGTCACAATTACTCATGTATTCAACTCCATGATTGTCTTGAAGAAGAGACAGAAGATCAGGAGGAGTGGCAGGCTGTCAAAGAACTACTTTACTCATACAATCCTCTGGTTGATAGCCATCGACGAGATGAGGAATTGTTACATTCTTGTTCTAAGTTAGTTCGAAACGAAATATCTGGTTGTGGTAGCTTTCATCTCATCAAGTTAAAAGAGTTTGGCTTCAAATCTCAAGATAATGTCGATCTCAACAAGACACTGTCAGAAATCAATGCATCCGCTGTTGAAACCCCAAGTAGGTTGGAGCAGAGAAGACGCGAAAAGGCGCTGAGGCGTACTTTACAAAGAAGAGAAAACGAGATGAATGAGGTCCAGAGAGACACATCATCTTCTTTTGTTTCGATGATCGCTAACAAGCTTAGCGGGAAAGATGTGAATGAGGCTAAGAAATCAATCTATGACGACGACCTGCAAGGACAATATGTTGTAAGTCCTCAGCAGAGTATGGACGATGAAGACGGACATCACAGTGCAGATGGTTTCAGTAATTCAGATGGTGATGAAGTTTATGATTCAGATGATGAGACTCTCTCGAACGGAGATTTATTTTCCGAAACACTAGGTAGTGATGCTGTCAGTCAAACGCTGTCGCAGACGTTGAGCTTCGTACAGTCCGGGACTTATGCAAGCGACAAGTCTTTGCTTAGAAAAGCGATCGCGGATAAAGTAATCGATGACTATCCGCCCATCGAGAATCGCAATTCGGATCATGCAGCGGGCAACGTTAATAAAGAGTGCGCAGCAAAACTAACACCGAAGAGTGGTACGACGTTTGAGCTCAGTCCAGTTGGTATAAGGTTGTGGTGTTTTTTTGTTGCTTATAACAATCGTAAGAGTCCGAAGGATAATTACCTCCCACAAGTGCAATCCATTCTTGAAGACTTAGAATTCGATGTTGTGGAGAAACTGATCGATCTTGCGGTTCCCGAATGTGCAGTCGAGTTCATCGACCCCGACATTTCGCCCCTAGGTTTGACCATGCGCGATATTGCGAGTCCGACAGTAAAAGCGCTGTTCGAGAGTTATTATTATTTCTTGGGTCGTTATGAATTCTCTTCAGACATTGATGGCGTTTTGCTTCATCGTAGCTCTGATAACAACACCGTATGCATTCGGGCGACGGAGCATTGTGTGAAAACAACAGAGTATCAGCCTCCGAAGGTTTACAGTCCTGGAGTAGCAGAAGAATCGATCTGGAACACAGGTGAAATGGTTCGAGATGAAGAAGGTTACATGGCATCTGAGTTTAATGACAAGAAGAGACAAGTCTGTTTCAAATTTACCCGAAGTAAAAGTGTATATGATAATGAAATCTCATCTCGCTCACAGCTCGGTATGGAAGAGGGAGTTACTACACCTAATCATATTCTCCCCCTTTTTAGTCATTTCAGTGCATCTGATCACGGACGGTATAAATTGGATGTGAAGGACGAAAGATTCAGGATCTTGAATTGCTATGGTGGCGAATACGTAAGGCTCGCTGATTATTCTTATGCACTTGTTTACCCGCACTCTGACGAAGGTGACTTATTCGACTATTTTTTTCACCAAGGGGCGCACAAACAAAATGAAGTTGTTGACATAGCTCTTCAGGTGGCGAAAGCCCTGAAACTAATGCACGATAGAAACGTCGTTCATCGTAAGTTGTCAATGCGCTCAATAAGAATGCTTCCGTTTGATCCTGAAGTGCAAAATCCGCAACGAACATGGGTATTGACCAATCTTTCGAGCGCCTCGTGCGATTGTGAAGCAGAGTTCATGGGGGCAGTTTCTCCCGATGGATCTGTTCACTTCGAGACTGGTCTTTTGCCGCCGGAAATGCTCACGAAAGTTTCATTATCAGAAGAAAAGATATACAAGGAGTACTGGGAAAAAGTTGAAACCATCTTCAATATAAAAGTTGACCAAATGATAAAAGAACCATGTGTTGATGCATCGACTGGATGTTCCTACGTTGTTCGTTGCCATTACACTGTCGGCGAGAAAGATCAGAAGAGGGCTGCCGAACTACCTGAACTTCCTTATATGCTCGTCGAGGCCAGAGAGAGTGCAGATCTTTGGTGTCTTGGGCTTTTGCTATATACTCTTTGCAGTGATGGGCGCCCTCTTTTCCCAGTGAATGTGAAGTCGGGTCACCTTCTTGACTATCATACTATCTTAAATTGGAACATGGATGCCGCTCGGGCGAACATTTATGAAAATATAGACGACCCTATTGCACAGGATCTGCTCCTGAAACTTCTTTCTCCGTTTGAGGAACGGAATAATTTGACGATGGAAGCAGTCATTTCTCATCCCTTCTTTTCTCCTTCAAGTAAATCCCCGCTGCGCAATAAAATAGTCGACCAAAGGACCAACGAAAGTGCTGCTCACATGCGAAATCGGATGAAACTCATTTCTGCTAAATACGAATATGATTGGCTTGCATCTCGCACCGTGCACGTCAATTGCTGGAATTTCGACATGCTTAAAACGTTCCATTTCTCGTCATCCGACATAATTCGAAAACTCATCGGCAGCAAAGATTCCTTGCCTTCAAGCTTTATTATGCTGCCTTATAAATTGTCGGCCAAGAACAAAAAAGGGAAGCTATCGCCCACAACAAAGAGAGATGTTGAGCGAGCAGAACGTATGGGTGTTTTGGTTTTGTCCTTAGCAAAAACTCTTTCTTTTGGCTCTTATGTGGAAGAAGCGATTGAGAAATCGAGTGTGGGACATAAATGGGATGCTGTAACATTATTGAACTCTGTCAGTTTTCCTTCCGAAGCCTACGAGGATCTGAAGGAAGAATTTTACAAAGTTGCTGCCGATCACATTGAGGCGTTTCGTGCAGATCCACGAAGCGTAGTGACAAAGTTGGTTGAACGACGTTACTTCGAAATAAAATCAATTTTCAATGAAGCAAAAAAAGCTTTCCTATACCTTGTTGACGAATACATGGGAGTACCTCTTGTGGGAAACACATGCACTCCATATCCTTTTGAAATATCCGGGACAACTATGGATAGCAACTTGACTAAAATACTTCCATTCATGCACGCCTGTTCCATGGTCGTGAGAGTGACCTCCGGAGGTATTTCTGGAATTGTGCGCCTTATATTTGAAGCAGCATTTGTAAGTATATCGGATAGTTTGAAGTTGTCGAGCTTAAAATCGATTGTAATATCTTCTCATATTTTCTTTCCTTTAAGCCACACGTTCCACCGTCTTGGACCCAAGCAGGATCTGGATTAATGTACTCTTTGAACGAAGAGATGATAAAAAGAGAAATTCTTTTATTGCATCGAACTTTGTCTGGGTTGAAGTCATCGAGGGCACGACGTAGCCTTGCCGACGACCTTGCGGATGTCAGATCAATGTGCATCGAGGTAGATGTGCGAGGAGATTTTGCAAATCTTCATCGAGTTCAATGTTCGGATTTGTCTCTGTGGACCTCTCCTGATTGCGTGAAACTGATCCAAGACGCGTGCGATGGCTATGATTTCAAGCAAGCTCTGAAGATTCAGGCCGATCTCGAGTCGAAGTTGACTTCGCAGGAACAGCTGATAAAGCAACTGCAAGAGAAAATTGATATAATGAACTGGCACAAAGAGTTGAATCTCAACGTACCTGACTCTTCGGGACGGACAAAAACATTGACGACTCCGCATGGTAGCCAAAAGAAGGGCGCTGTGAACCTATCACCTAACAGTAGCAGTCAGGCTGGTAAAGGTGCGGATGTAGCATCAGTGGCGACCACCAACTCAAGATCGACATTGCGTGACAATCTTAGTGTCGACTAATTTTCTGCATCATGGTGTGCTTTTATACGAGGAAAAAGATATGATGACACTAGGAGCGACGGTAGTACGATCGAGTCATGGGATGCCAATCTCTTTTTGTATTTGGTTTACATGGTTTCTCTGACCTTACATGGTGACCATTGTCGCAGAATCCGATGGGTATCTGCCGTGTTGCCTTTTTTATGGATCAATTTGTCGTAACGATACAAACAACGAAAATTAAACTGTGTAATATTGAAATATTTATCCAACAGAAGGTCTTTACTTCGGGGACGAAAAAATGAGGCTCAATTGCAGCCCTATTTGATGGCATCTAAAATCCATTGGACTCATGGAATTCTGAAGATTATTGGGTCGAAACAACAAACAGGATAAATTAATTTTGTTAATGAGGGAAAGGTTGTACGGGATAAAATAGGCTGGTTCAGTGTTTCAATATTGCTAATTTCCAGAGGGGGGAAACCAATTCAACTCGGTACTGGTGCTTTGTTTTCCGGAGGCGCATTTGCGTCTGCGGTTTCTTCTTCGTCCGGTGCCTCTAGGATTTCAGCCAAATTTGTAATTTTGATTTTCGATGTCCTTTCATTGGGGTCTCCTTCGTCTTCGATTTCTTCCAATGGCTCCAGTGTCACTTCCCCGCCCGTCGTGATAGATCCTCCTCTCGAGAGCGTTCCTTCCCGTTTCAAGTCCGTAAATGCGTGGCAATCCTCCAACGTCTCATCTCTCAATCGCTCGTTTACGGCCGGTAGATTCGATAATGATTTGTGCAGACTATGCGCGATTTCCTGTTGGTCCTTGAGATTGAGTTCCAAAACCCCCATTTTGTCGGTTAGAATATCCGTATCGATGCCTTGATCTTCCAGGCTGGAAATGGAAGAGCCACCGTCAAAAGTGTTAGTGCTTTGTCCGCGGTAATGCGGGGATTCGCTTCCAGATCTCGAGGACAGAGCATCTTTGCGCCGTAAGAGCGTGTTCTCGCGGTTTTGCAAGTTGGAAAATGACCCCGTCAATCGAGCTTCAAACATCATTTTCGTGGTGTCGATGCGTAGAGGCTGGGTCGTAGGAGTGTTGTTCTGGGAAACCTGTTCGCCCAGGCTCTCCAATCCGGAACTATCTGCTGATTTCTCAGCAACCGTGCTGGTACCCACAGTAGTTGTTGTCGCCTTTGACACAGAAGTGTCGGTCGGGTGTGTTGCGGGTGTAGCTGTAGCTGCAGCTGCCCCTGGCTTGGGGGTGGGGTTTGAAGAAGAATCCGTAGACATGGCAATCGACACGTGCGACTATCGCAATAAGATGAGATAAAAGACTACGATACGAAAAGGTACCTGATGAGCAAAGCAATGGGAACAAACCAAACGCGATGCTTCCTGCGTGGCCGGATTCCTATTATTCCGAGGGTACGAGTACCGCAACTGGTGGTCTCCGGAATAGAGAGGAGAGCTTGTCTTAGGGGACAGGAACTAAGAATGAGGGCACTTTTGCAACAAATAATAGTTCTTTCTATTCTTTGATGTTCTTTGGATTCTTTCGATCTACTCGTATCGCGTCAGGGAAGGAAATGAGTTCAATGGGTCTCTTGGCAGGAAGTTTGAGATGAAGTTGAATGTCTGTGTCTACAGTATTCGGCAACATCTTCATCTTGACACAAGAACAAGATACTTCGGAACGGCACGTAGGGTTCTTGTACTCCTGGTACTGGTACGCAGACGGTGCAGTTGTAAGGTATTAACTGTGGCGTCGCACGGTCCGCGCATACCATAAATGTAACCATAGATGTACTCGTACCTTGTTGAGCTCCGTGTTATTTGTGTGGGAAAAGTTTTGTACTGTGTGTTCTCGAGCTTTGGTATGTGATATATCTGTGGAGGAGCTCGCGCAGCGCGTGTATCCAAATTGTAACCAGAATTTTGTACGAACCCGCACAGAAACATTTAGGGGGCGAGGCGGAAACGGGAAAGAGTTAAGTAACTCGTGACTGAACTACAACCAACAACGACGGTCTCAAAAATTTACTGTACGGTACCGTATTGTACTTCTACTTATTCAAACAAACGATGATCTGTCTCATGAGCATGAATACCCTGCGGTACAACATGCGGCCGATGGTACGGTACGAAATCGAACCGATCCTATTATGTCCAGGCATCCGTATGCAATCCGTTTGTTCCAGAAAACACTGAAGACTATCTATTGTCATTCAAATTTTCAATAAGGTCAAATATTGTATTCGAACTATGAACTCCACAAATCCATCGCCACACCATCAGTTGCCGAAATCGCACTCGTATTTCGACGAATGGTTCAACATTCCATCAAAAAATTCAAGTTCTTCAATACATCCCATCACGTCGTTGATTCAGTGTCTCGACCCGAAAGCTCACATCAACGAATATTGGGAACAGTTGACGCGACCTGACGGAAGGCTATTCACTCAAGGTCGGACGACACAAGCTGTTTACGGCATGCTAAAGCATTCAGCGGGGTCTGCTCTGGTGTCTCAAAACGAAAGCGGAGGTCACATCAGCGGGACTAAAATTCTAGCCGCGACGACGTTCAACATAGGCCAGCCGTCTCCAGAGCAACCAGACGAGGGGGAAGTTGTTGTCCAAGTGAGCGGTACAGGTGGTAGAAATGTTGCAGGAGATTCAAAATCCCAGCAACACTACTGGGAGTCACTACAGTCCTGGTTACAACGGACAATTGAACAAGACGAAATGATGGCAAAGTCACTTAATCTCTTGACAGGAAAGTCTTGCCTTCAATTAGTCATTACCGTCATGGTTTTAGAAGATAATGGAAACGTTAAAGATACAGCCTTATTGGCATGTATGGCAGCATGGAAAGATACGCGACTGCCGAAAGTTGGAAAAGATTTGACTGAAGTGCAGGGGAAACTCTGGTTGAGGCCGCATCCAGAATTACCAGTAAATATCAATGAGGCGGTGAGATGTGCAAGCAATGAAGAAACATCGAATGATCAGAGAGTCCAGCGTCATTACCGGGTATCACTCACGATGGGAATTTGGGTGCATCCAAGAGATCAAACAATACATCTCATAGCTGATCCCAGTAATCTTGAGGAGCCATTTTTCGAAGGAAGCATAACAATTGTAGTCAGCTTGGCCAATGAAAAGCTCCAAGTTGATTACACAGGCGAGGTTCCCTTGACAGGACACATTGTAGCTCTGGCAGCAAAGCTCGCTCTCGCTAGAGCCAGAGAAGTCACAACAATCTTATCATGAAATTACTAATATTATTTTGTACGAAATACAATTTGTTTTTGAGACCTGGGTGCAAAACTTCTTTTCGATTGATTGCAACATCTTAATCGATATCTTAGTTCTCCTTTCACTGTTATTCCAGCGCAAACTTCGATCGGCGTGTACAATGATCACCCATCTGAACAATTAGATCTGTCCAATTTCCTTCAACATAATTTGGAACCATTCCTGTTTCAAATCGAAGGCCTTGCCACCCTTGACACGTTCGAATTCAATAGGCCGAATAGGTAAACCTTCTTTTTCCTCGTCTTGTCCCATGCAACCAGAGACGCCTTCAATTGCAGAAGCAACACCGACTTTCGCACACTCACCGATCAGATTGCGGTCAAATTCATTCGCAGCGGCTGAACGCGCAAAGTATCCCGACTTCTGTACAATAGTCTTTTCGGCGTTAACATAGTTCGCAAGACGCTTCGAGAAATATTGTCCAGGGTTGATCTTGTTCAGAGTAACATGACCAAAAGCATCTCGTGGGACTTCTTCGCCATTAGATTCCATGTCTCGAACGATCTCCTCAACACCTGTTCCCTCTCCGAAAAACACGTTGACACAACCATTCTCGTCCATCACCTTCTTCAGGCGAGCACCCTCAGCGATTAGATCCAACTTGAGTTCCGGGATCCAAATTGCATGGATGTCACGAGAACTTTGGTTGCTTGGAAAAATTGAACTGGCTAGGTTCTGCTTCGACAGTATATCGCGGTAGTATTGGGCGGTCTTCGCTGTCAAATATCCACAGTCACGACCCATTACTTCGTGCAAAACTAGCATGCGAGGACTAGCAGTCGACTCATTCACAACGTTTTGGAAGAAAATCGCTCTGTTTCGACATACGTTTTGCAACATCACGGTGTAAGAAAGCAGTTAAAAAATTTAAAAAGAAACTCGTCGTATAAATTAATTTCCTCAATATTTCTTACCCTTGATTTGCGGCCGTATCGGCACCAAAAGTCTGCGCAATAGGGATGACATCATTATCGATAGTCTTCGGCATACCAATAACAATTACGCTTCCGTTGTGCTCATCCATGAGATATTTAGAGAGGACGGCAGCCTGAGTATTTGTGTCGTCCCCTCCAATCGTGTGCAAGACATGAATCTCGTCCTTAAGCAACTGCTGAGACGCGACCTCGACTGAAAATATAGAAGCAGGTAACGAAATACCAAAATTTTATGTTTTAGTGATATGATGAGGAAAGAAGATAGCAACGAAGAGATTCCATTGGTTCCGCAAAGAACTATTTCAGAAATAAGTGGACAGAAGAGACAAACTTACGTGGATTTTCTCCCGCCTTGATGAATCCTCTCTTTTCGCAATCTGCAAGATTGGTCAGCTGATGCGTTGCGTTGACAAATTCGAACACATTTAAAGTTCGACAGAATCTAATGAGTGATTTTCGAAGGCAAACAAAGTTTGCAACGAAGAAAGAAAGCTACAAAAATTCTTTATATGATTATCACATTTTGATCGTACCTTGACTCGACTGTTCCCGATGGGACTTCCGCCCAAGAAGTTCAACTTGTCCATGCCTTCCCATTCAGATTCTGGGACAACAAATGAATGACCTGTCAAGATTCCAGAGTACCCATCGACGTACATACGCAGTGTAAGACCTGAAATCTTCCCTTGGGCCAGTGCTTCAATCCAATACTTGGAAAGCTGCGCGACTGAGGATGACAAGCAAGGAGCAAGACCACCAGAGGTCATCATACCAACGTTAACATGCTTTCCTGCAATGGAAGAGTGCGAGCGAACGTATGAACTGTCGTTAGGAGCCATAGTGGATTGTTTTCGTTTGTGTTGTAGTTTGAAAAATTGACGATACTTTTTTTGCGGTTGAGAGAAGAAAAGTGGTACCAGTTGGGTGAGATTTCTTCCAGAGGATTTCAGCGGATGATCGAAAAAGTGATCGGGGGATTCAGGATTTTGATTTCCTTCTGTCTTCTATCGAGCAGAAGGTGCGATCGCGTCCTAACGAAATGTGAAGAACAATTCGACAACACCCAGACCTTTTGATTGGCTCATTTGTATTCTCCATGACGCACGGAGATGATGGATACCGTTGTACTTCAAACAAAAACCCATTGTCACGTTTCAAAAATGAGGAGAAGAAAATCTCCTTCGCTATTTTTCATTGGTGAAGAACAGTCGTGAAAGTTCAATAAATTTCAACCCAAACAAAAAGCGCAGGTACGTTCTCGTACTGGTACGGATGTAGTAGTATCATTCATACGTACGAACAGAGGGAGTATCAAATGTGCAAGGAGGAAGGACCATCAGGAACCCACGCGCTGAAGTTTTCGTGTTTCCCCTCATCAAAAATTTCTCCCAGAGGACAAGAAGTTCACAAAAGTAGCTACTATTAAAAAATCTTAATATTATTTAACCTCAGGAACTAGAAGAGGCATTATGTGGCCAGAGTCATTGCAAACTTCTGGGGAGAACAATGCTCCTTGCACTCCTAGCTGCTCTGAGGGGCAACGTCTCCCTCTGAGGAGGAGTGGTTGTGGAGGCCTGACCATATTACTATTATTTTAATACTAGAAAAATAAGAACCTACGACTACTACTAGGAAATAACTGCTGCATGAAACCTAGGAAGAAATATCCCAAGAAAAATAACCAACAAAGTTAAAGATAAGAACAATCATCTCTGAAAAGTTATAATTTTATCCAACAGCTCCTTCAGGGGAGTGCTAACCCTCAGGGCAACTGTAGGAGAAGAAGGAGCATTCTTTGTCACATTTTTGTTTCTCCTCTTGCTGGCACAATGTGACAACAAACAATGGTTCTAGCTTCTTTCCTCTTTCTACMACCAATCTTGTATCCTAGTTCACAATGTCAAATAAAATATTAAGTTTTCCAGAAAAAAGGTGCTAAGGTACACAACTAATTTGTCGGTTGTTGCTTCTTCTTGTGAGGTAACCTTGGAACCCACCACACATACAGCTTCTTGTTGGGTTCTTGTTGAATGAGAAACAACAACATAACAACCCAGTATGATGTACAGTTTTAACTCAAAAGAGTAGTAGTAACATGATCCCCAAAGTAAAGAAAGATTACAAAATAGGTTACTAGGGATGTAGTAGGTTCTTCTAGACATCCTCAAAGTCATTAGCAAGAAAGGCGGGGTGTACCATGCTGTCTGTTCTCAACAAGAATCCAACCTTTTATCATCATATTCCTTCATTCTTTGCTATAAAAAATTCTCCATCTTTTATGCTGTTGTTCTCTTATGAATTTGGGTCTTTTATGGGTGGTGGAGCTCAGAATAGTACTGCTATGTAGTAGTACTACTGCTAGTACTGTGTCCACAGTTCAAACAAGATACAGTACAAACCATGCAGCACACAGCACTCAAACAACCAGGAAACAATTTACAAAAATTGTCTGCTGGTATTGCTGTAGTAAGAAGTAAGTACCAAGTTTTTTGTAAGCCTACACATACATCTAGAGGTTCTACTATATCAGGATATGGATTTCTCGACAGCAGGGCATATCTGTTGTTTGCCCAAGGAGACACAGTACTACTATCAGCAGGTAATCCATACCAATTGTGACCTCCTAGTCATATTAGCCCTATGAGCATCTCTTGCTGACTAATAGCAGTACTAGAGTACTAGAGCAGATAAGGAAATTTTCATTGTATCTTTTCTGCTAATGTAATGTTGTGAAGAAAAGGTTCTTGAAAAGGATTCATAATTATATTTTTTAAACTCTGCCAACCACTAGTACTAGATTCATTAGACATTGCTGCTCTCCCTTGTGTTCTCTTCTTTAATTTCAATGGCTTCAAGAATCTTTTTTCTCTACCCTGCACTTTTTCTTTCAGGGGGGATTAGGAGAATTTTGACATGTTTTAGGCAGGGACCCCTCATGCACTGCATTATTTTACAAATTAATCTACCATGTTTGGCAAACAATTTGGAATCTAGAATCAGATCTTTCTCTTGTTAAAATCCAGGACTTACTGCTATTATGGGTGATCAACAGCTTCTGGATAAGAGCCTGTATTCCTTCTCACATGCTACTGTAGGCACAAATGATTTACTGTACCATATTCACATAGTTGTACCTACTTGTAAAAATCGCAATTGGAAATTGTAGATTAAGAGTGCCTACTGTCCGAAGAGTATTAATTTCTGAAAGTTTTGTTGATACTTTGATGTACAGTACTCTACAATTCATCACTGTCTTCTTTTCCATCCTTACCCGTACCATCAGACTTCGCGTCGGTATCTTTGTCAGAACTATCGGCAGCATTTTCTTTCTCTTCAGTCCCCTTGGTGTCTGCATCAACAGACTCACTATCAGTTTCGTCCGAGGTTTCCTTTTCGGTGCTATTCATTTCGGTTCCTTTCTTTTCAACCTTTGGAGGCTTGGGCTTGGGCTTCTTCGTCAACTTCGCTATAAGCTTCTGAATAGACTTCGTTTGCAGAGGGACCTCTTCGCTACTAAAAACTGGATCTTCGTGTCCCGCTTTCTCAGATTGTGCATCGACCATGTCAGAGAGCCATTTTCTGGCACCTTCGATCTTGCCAAATACATCACTCTTTTCATCTTCTGTGATATGTGTCAAATTCGTGACCCATTTCGTGAACTTCTCTTCGATTTCCACAAGTTTTTCGTTCAGGGCTTTGACTGCTGCGGGTCGCTCTGTCATTTCTTTCAAGCGAAACCAAACTTTTTCGGCAGGTCCCGCCAATTCATCATACTTAGACTGGATCGTGGCAAGATCAGCTGAGTCGCCTTCGTCAAAAAGCCATTCTTCAGCATCCATGGATAGCTTCAGGAGCTCTTCCCTTTGCTCTTCTGTCGAGATTTTCCCAATGTTATCTTCGTCGTCAACAAGCTTATTCTTAACATAGTAGAAGTAGCTTTCAAGCTTATTCTTTGCTTCTTCGAGAAGAACGCGTTGTTTGTCTAACTCAGCCAAAGTTGCAATGTTATCTTTGTACTCTTGGATCAAATCTTCTGACAGAGATTGAATTTTTCCGACCTGATAGGATTCGACGTCTAAGGACTTTCGATGGACCCTTTTCTTTTCCTGCAATTTAGAAACAAAAGCAGGTTTTTGTTTTCGTACCCCAAAAATCTACAAGATGAGATTGGTGGCTCTTCCATCAACTTTAGCAATGTACAATATGTCTTACATTTTTAAACGTACCTGTTCGACAATCTTGGTCTTCTTTTTTGGTTCTTTCTCTTCTTCCGAAGTTTCATCTGCTTCTGAACCTTCTCCACTTTCTTTGCCGTCAGGAGCTTTTTCGGCGCTTTCATCTTGAGAATTAGTCTCTTCTGACTTTTTGTCATCATCCGTAGAGTTAGTTTCAGATGCTTCCGAAGTTTGTTCCTCATCCTCGATCTCGACTTCAACCTCAACAGTATATTTCTCCTCAACTGCAGCCTCGGCTTTACGAAGCGACGTCACACCACTACTGCTTAATTCAAACTGCAATGATATCTTCGGTTTACCCAACCCCTTCTCTTCCATTTCCTTCGCGAAATCAGAAACACCTGAGATTTTGTAACGCTCTAATTCTGTCTTCGCTCCATCAGGAATATTTTCGGGTTCAGCATAGTCCAATGAACAAAGTATATCCTTATCATGCGTGAAGGCGATAGTCTTCTTCACTCCGACTTTACCATTTGTTTTGAAGATTGTAGCTTTCTTGCCCCAGGCTTCCTCACTATCATCGTCTGATTCCAAGTTTTCCAAAGAAATTCCAATTGGGAAGGGATTAATATCAACCAAACCTACCTGACGAACACGGAAGGCGGTTGAAATGTTGGCTCCATAGAAAGCTGCACCTAGTGCCATACTCTCGTCTGAGTTGATATGCATACCTAGTTCCTTGCCACCCAAGATAGAAGTGAGGCTGGATTGAACCTTAGGAACGCGCATTCCTCCTCCAAGCATTTCAATTTCGTCAATTTCTTCCAACGTCACGTTAGCAGATGCCAAGGCATTATTAATGGGTTCAGTGGCTCTTTTTGCAAGGTCTTCGCACATTTCCTCGAACTGCGATCTAGTGATGTGCATGGAAAGAGTCATATCATCGTAGAGGGAGTCCATGTGAATGGGAATTTCTTGATTCGCAGACAAAACGTGTTTGACCTTGTTTGCTTGAAGGCGGATTTTAGTCATAGCACGGGGAACATCTCGAATATCTTTTTCGTGACCACGAGCATGACGCCATTTGTGGTTGAAACTATCCGCCATGTACTCAACCAATCGATTGTCGTAAGCAAGACCTCCAAGAGTTGCATCCCATCCCTTACCCAACACTTCAATCGATCCAACTTTCTTCATTTTCTTGGAATATTTCGATTCCGGTACCTCGTAGTGGTGAAACTTGACTACACTGACTTGCAAGGAACTTGCTCCGAGGTTGTAGAACAGGTATATTTTTGGTTCGTCAAAGGTCTTATCCATCCCGAAATTGAGGGCAGAGGCTGTGTTTTCATCGATCAGACCCAAAACCTTGAATCCTCCCAATTTTGCGGAATCTAGTAAGGCCTGACGTTCTGCTTGTGTCGCAAACGACGGCACAGTTAAGACGCAATCAGTAATGTCGCCATAAACGTGTCCTTTTTCTTTACCGTAATGATGAGTGAATTCTTCGGCGTAGTGCAAAAGCATGGCAGTCAACTCCTCGGGCGTGTGAACTTGTTTTCCGCCATCAATCGAAAGATAGAGACCTTTTCTCGTTTCATTATATTCAGGTGTGAGCGGGTAGTGCCGATCAGTAAGTACCTGTATTTTTTTCCAATAGAAGGAGAAGCATTAAAGAAGGTGTTCAACATTTTGAAATACGAACAAACGGAAGTAGTGAGAGATCATGTTTGATCATTGTGCTTTAAGTCAAGTTTATCGGCCAAGTTTGTGTCGGCTTAAACTCGATATGATCTTTGATATATATACTATGCCTCAGTGAAATTACATACTTTTACCGCTGGATGGTTTTCGTCGCGTCCCAACATCGTGCTCATGCCTACAGCAGTCTTTGTGGGCTTTCTGGCCAAAAGACTATTGGCATCTGATCCGTACAAACGAGTTCCTTGATCAAAAAGAATTATTTGCTCAGTCTTTCGTTTCGAATGCATATTAGTGACAATTTCAAGCGGCGCACCTCTCTGTACAAGGCCGACTTTCATGTAAACTGATCCAAGATCGACACCAAGGATAGCCTTTGCCGACACATACGTCGTCGACGCCAGGAGCAGCGATGCATAGGCACCCCAAAAAACGGTGCCGTGGACCAAAAATGAAAACTTCATTGCAACGATCCAAGTGTTCTTCAGATTAGTTGAGACAGTTAATTAGTCCGTTGAAACTTGTGTCTTGTGAAAGATTCCAAGCGGCAACAAGATGACTTTAATGTGTGCCAAAAATAATTGAAATGTGAGAACATTTCGTGACTTTTGTCTAGAATTCAGAGCATTTTTTACGATCGTGCGACGAGTGATTTCGAATTTTGATGACGACAACGTGTGGCGCAAAGCTTTTTTAAAACACGCACCGTAACTAGGAATGATGTACTCGGAAAAAAGCGAAACGTGTCATTATGGAAGAGACCCAATCCGTCTGTCCGTCTACCCGTACTTACTTTTAGTATGATTGATCGAGACTTCCCGTACGAGTACTCGTACTTTTGAAAACAAAACATCGGGTCATTGGGTGATTCCCGCAAACATATTAATGGGTCATTCCCGATAGTCTAGAAAGTCTAAATTTTGATAGACAGACAGACCRAATTTAGACTTTCTAGTCCAAATTTTGAAGGCCCCCCCCGGCCTTCAAGATTTCTAAATCTAGACCGGAATCCAAGAATCAAATTCCGTTGTAGGACTCAACTGAAATGACGGCCAAATTTATGACTGGAATAATTTTTTACTACGTTACTAAATCTTTTCTTCTTAATGAAGAAAGCGTTGGCGCCATGGAAGAGGGAAGACATCATAAACAACAGAAAGAACAATGATGTCCCCTGTCTTAGTGACTACTGCTCTCCTATATCGTAGATCAAAACTGAGAGAGGCCCTCCTCTTGCTGGAGGCCTTGTTGTCTCAAGAGACAGAGGAGACAGCAGCGAGGGGGAGCAACATCCCTCACACAATATTCATTCCACGAGCAAAGATGTCGACGGGTACTGGTCCTTATGCTACCATCCCTCCCTGCAATGGGGGGCGCTTTCCTCCAGCGGCCGCACCAGTCCCACCAACAAAGAAGAAGACTGGCCGTAAGGGCGGTACTGCAAACTACACGGAAGATGAGCTTATCTCGTTGATGACTCTCATCAAGGAGGTCCTCCCCATTGGTAAGAGTGATTGGGACATGGTGGTTTATAGACATGGACAAGACTGGCCCTATGGTAGGAGCAAGGAATCCATTAAGACCAAGTTCAATCGATTGAGGAGGCAGAAGGCACCAACTGGGAACCCCAATATTCCTGAGTCTGTCTGGCTTGCAAGAGAGGCCCATCGCTTGATTGGGATAAAGGCAAATTTTGGAAATGGAGAGGAGACCTATGATCCAGTCAAAGGTTACATCGGTGATGAGGATAATGATGACTTGGAGGAGGAGGCTTTGACTCCAGCAAAATCAAGCAAGAAAACGACGTCGGCCTCCGAGTCGACCGAGGATGATGAGGCGCCCATTGTCGTGGCAGCGCCACCAATGCCGAAGAAGAGACAATATGGAAGATTGAAGAAGGAAATGGCTCAACAGGATGCTGTTCTTAAGGAATACCTCCAGCAACAGGATAAGAGGGAAGCTGAAAGAGACAAGAAGGCTGATGAGAGGGAAGCTGAAAGAGCAAAATGCGAAGACGCGAGAGATGAACGTTGGCTTACCATGGCTCAAACAATTGCCTCCTCAATGGCCTCCACAATGGCCTCCACAGTGGCATTGGCGCTCACCAGTAACAAGCGCCCACGCACTGATTCCCATGGTGAAAGCAACTAATTTTGATCTTCTTGTTAGCAATGATTAACGATTACACGGTTACGATTCAACATACAGCTAACAGCAAAAAGAAAAGCAAAATAATGAGCTCATCGATTAGCAAAATTAGTTCTTTCTTACTACGTGTTACACCGTGTTGTTCCCTATTTTGCTGATAGTACCAATGAAACCGGGACTACAAATACTGAGCACGTACGTTGTAATCCCACAAACCGGGGGTTCGCTTTCAAATCACATGCATTGATCGGCACTCACATGCACTGATCGGCACCCACATGCATTGGTTGCATCATACATCATCTTCATTACATTATATATTTGCACGTCGCATTGTTGCGTCTTTGCGCTTAAGATATTTGTCTTCATTGCAGTATATTCCGGTTACAACGGATCCCACAAAGGGTATGCATGAAAACCCATCACTCCCACGAAAGGTATGCAAGAAAACCAATATTACTACTAGCACCACAGAAACCTATGGCAAAAATTTGGAACAACACGGTGTAACGCGTAGTAAGAAAGAACTAATTGCTAATCAACGAGCTCATTGTTTTGTTTTTCTTTTCGCTGTTTGCTGCTGTATTGCTGTTTGCTGTTGAACTAAATCGCTGTCAACGAAACTAACCAACTTGCCTCCCACCATGGTGGAGGGGAGACAAACACTGTAAGTTCCTTTGCTGCGATTGAATTGATACGCATTGTGTTGCTGCTTAATCGTTGCGTTGAATTGAATCAGAACCGAATCGTTAACGCGTTGGACCAACGCGTTGAATCGTCGTTGCATTTAATTAATCAGTCTTCAATCAATCTAACAAACTGTTCTTCTTGACCATGGGAATTATTCAAAGAATGCATCGTTTCCAACTGGAGATACCTTTCTCCCTTCATGGAAGTATCCAGCAGCAAGATCCTGAAGCTCATGCGGTTTGTCCATCTCCTCGCGGGTCGCCGGCGGCATCTTCATGAAGACTGTCAAGATCTGATTATGCCCAATGGTACTACATTGGTAGTTGTACAAGTTGATCATTAAGTGAATGATCACCCTCCTTTCCCCAAAGTCCTCCAGTCTGAGCCTATCCTTCATCCTTGGATCATCCTCATCCCCCACTCTGACATCTGCCTAAGTGACGTGGCGTCCCTATTTAATAGGAGCTGTTCTTCCCCTTCGGGATTGGTTTGAGAACTTTGAATTAGGAAGGGTCTTCCAATTAAGCCAAAAGCTGAATCAACCACCACCTTTGCCCCTCCAGCAGCAGTACAGTCGGCATCCAATTTCTCCATCTTGTCATAGATTCCATAGTCACTGATGGTACTGTCGTGCCACGTGTCAGGGCAATTGAAAGTTCCTACGCGGTTTTTACCATCAGGTGCAAAGACAAACACTCCATTCACGTAAGTATCTGCCTTCCACCCATTAAAGAAGACCTCCTGTCTGAGCCAGTCTTCTGAAGACTGGATCTCTGTCTTGAGCCCATCTGCTGCTGCCCAGATGCGTTGTTCCCCAAGTCTTGGATATTTTGCTGCAATTGCTCTAACATACTCATTGATTTCTTGCTTACTTGGCAGACTGACCATGGCGAGTGGATGTTTGTGAAGCACTGAAAGGAGGATCCTCATGGAAAACTTGATCCATTTGTACATGACTGTTGAAGTAAGACCAAATGCCATTGCCATTCCTCTTGCAACAGATCCTCTAGTCCTGTACCAGAAGAGCACTAGTCCAAGGCAACAAGTAGCGTCGGCCTCCCTTGGCTTTCCCATCTTCTTTCCACTCCTAGTGGGAGCTAGAAGAACAATCTCATTGTTCTTGTTGACCAAGTATCTGTTGAAAGCTGGAGCAAAGAGCTCAACAAGATCCCTGAAGACCTTTTGGTCTACACCACAACAGTTGAGGAGTGCTTGGTCATCCCCTGACTGGAAGAGGTAGACAAAGGGAGAGTCAGCATATCTCCTAATTGCAATCCTAGGCGTTCTTCTGTCCATCCTGCATCTCTCCTCTTTGGACTTCTGTTTTCCATCCCATTCATCCTTCAAGCATCCTCTATGCTTGATTGCCCAGTATATGCAAAGGGTCTTGATGACACCCATTGTTTTGCTGGGAGACAACTACTGTCTTTTGTTTATGAAAAGCTCAATTTATGACGAGTGAGTTAGTAGTAGCTAGTAGTAGTTACTGTAACAATTTCTTGTTATCGAAAATTTCGTGTTATCAAAAATTTCGTATTTTACTTAGTACCCAGAAAGACATACTGGCGCGCTTTTCCAGCAGTCTTAGTCATTGCCGTTGGCATGATTCCGAATTCCTTTAAGACTAAAAAAACTGTCCGTTGGGACCTTGTTTTTAATGATTCCTGTTAAACTAAAAGTCTAAACTAGACCTTTTAGAATTTTAGACCATCTAGACTATCGGGAATGACCCAATATGTAAAAATGAGACCAGCCAGCTTGAAAAAATATGTAAATTACATAAATTTTGGTTGTCGTGGGCCCACGACTACCAACTTTGATGTAATTTACATATTTTTTATTTGGAATCCTTGACTTAACCATTTCCAGTCTCGTTTTAGTGAAAATCCCAAAGTTCCTGCCACTTTGGAATTTTGTCAAATTGCATGCAATTTATACAGGATTCCARATTCCAAAAATGGGGGGAAAATATGTAAGTTGAGCTGGCAGTCTGTGTCTTCTGTACCACTGAAACGTATTCCCGCTGACATAAACCAAAATATGTTTGCGGGAATCATCCATTCACAGAAACCACAGTGAAGTTTAGATAGAATTTACACTACTGTCATTTTTTGGGTGGCGCACTAGGCTGCTTTCAGGTGTGGTGGTTCCTTCTTAGCATCGTTGAGGATTTCTTAAACTTGCTTCTTCTTGTCAATTGAGACCAGCAGTAACAAGCCAGTCCTTGATGGTACTAGTACTATATTCTTGGTGCCATAAAAGTCTATTGCAAGTACTACCAGTTGTAGTACTAGTGGTGGTAATTGCTTTTTTATGTTGGTAGAGCGGTTCATACTTCTAGTAGTAGTACTAGTAGTACTAGTAGTTGTAGTAGCAGGAGCAGTACTAGTAGTACTACTACTAATACTAGCTACTACTACTACTAATAGTACTACTACTACTAAACAAGAAGATCAACAAGAACTACTAGTACTCTACGTAGTAGCAGTAGCAGTAGCAGAAGCAGTAGCAGAAGCAGTAGCAGAAGCAGTAGCAGTAGCAGTACTACTAGTACCGCATACTAATGATTCCTGGTGGTGGTGGTGGTGGTGATGTATGCTGACAATGAGGAGGAGGTACTACAGGAGGAGGGGGGACTAAGGACAGATTCAACAAGAACAAACCACTACTACTAGTACTAGTACTACTACTACTACTACATTACACCACCACCAAGAAAGATCCTGCAAACTCAAAATTCTGGGGTGAAGTATCCCTTGTGATTTTGAATCAGATTCTTGAAGCTTCCTAGTAATTTGTCTTAATACATCCTCCTCTTTTTGCTGTGCATGTAATTATGCTACAGTTTCTTCTTGTTTGCTGCTTTTGATCAGCTGCCACTTCTGCTGACCTATTAGTGCACCATCAAGGTAGAAGAAAAAAAATATCAGGACGATGAGTCAGCATTTGAGCTTTTAGTACCAGCAGTACAGATTCCAATGACAGTAGTATCATAGGATTACTGGTACCTACCACAAGGGAATGTTCTTCTTGTTGCCACCAGCATTAACACAACAACAATGAATACTACTACTAATGGTGATAATAAGTTCATGTTGGGAACAATAATAGTAGTACGTCACACAGCATAATAATACTAGTAGTAGTAGCTACTAGTAGTACTACTAGCTAGTAGCATGATGCCTAGCAGTTATCACAAAATCTCTAATATGTTATTCCCCCCAAAATAGAGGATCACAGACTTAGATAGCATGTTTGTTGGAGTTCTTTGCAGGAATAAAGCATTGATACTAGCCAGTAGTAGAGGTCTATTGAAGTTTTGAGTAACCACCAATATCAAAAAGGAAGAAGGTATTTGCCAAAATTTTAATGCCATTTCTCATTCCTACTACTAGTAATACTAGTAGTAATAGTACTCAGTGACTAAATTATTTTCAGTCATACTACTACTAGATTTTATCACTCAGACTCAGATTTTGTGAGAAGGAAAAAAGAAAAATAAAGGGGGGGGCTTCAAGAACTACCAATAGGGAATTTCCTCTGTGCCTAAAATAAGGAGATTGAGAATTTAGGCAACCACCAGATTTTTTAGCAAATTTGTACCCACATGATGAATAAATGTAGTAGTAGGATTTCTGCTCAACATTTATTACTACTACTAGTAGTAGTACTACTAGCATGAGTTTTTATTTTCTTCAAAACCCCTGATTGTGGAAGTTCTCTCTTCAAAAGAATGAAAAACAGCAGGTGTACATCATCGTAGAAACGTATCATATGTATGTGTCGTATGTATGAATCATACCCACGGTCTGATATCCTACGGACAACAACACCACTAGCAACACTACTAGTAACAACACTAACAGCACTTACAGCACTTACAATAACACTACTAACAACACTTGCATTTACACCAACACTTACACTAGCACTCCTTCAATTAAATGTTGATAGATGGTGTGATGGATCTCCAACTACTACTAGTAGTAGTTGCTATTGATGGAGGGATGCATACAATGCTGAAGAGCAATTAGAACAAGATTCTCCTCTTCATGTTGTTGGCACAACAACAACAACAACAACAAC